GGTTTTTTTTCTCCTGTTAAATTACTACAATCATTTTTTAATTTTGCTTTGGAGTTTTTTTTTTCACCCATCGTTTTTTCATTTTCATTTTGCTTTACGGACTTCTAATCTCAAAAACTATGTATTGCACTTTGTACAGATTTTGCCTACCTCGTCTAAAATTCGCATGTAAATTTATTTTTACTTGCTTTGATGGGATCCCGACGGGTCTTTAATAAAAATAATTGAATTGAATTGAATTCCAACGTCAACGACAATTTTGACCGTTTACTCTCACAGGCATTTCATGCTGCGGCCGACTCAAGCTTTAAGTATCAATTGGTTGCGGGCGACCTTAATCTCCCCGAAGTCCGCCGGTATCCGCCTTCAGGCCCCAGAAAGTTCGAAGACTTTCTTGAGGCTGTGGATGTTGGGATGTGGAGTAAGGTTGTCGATTTTCTCACCCGAAGCTCAAGCATTCTTGACCTTATTTTCTGTAGAGGCTGCATGCCATCGTCGGTGTCATCCTTAGGCCCACTGGGGGGCTCAGATCATGACATAGTTGTTTCAACGTTGGAACTCGGGACTGACAAAACGTTGTTCCCAAAGAACAACTTTCTCCGCGATTTCCGATCAACTCGCTCAACCGAATTATTAACACACCTTAATTCCTACGACTGGACTGATTTCTTCCTTAGTTCGGATGTAAATGTTTGCACTGCAAAACTGTACGAAATTTCGGATCCGCTTATTTCTCGTTGTGTTCCACATATGAAAATTATTAATCTTGGGGATGAGGTTTTCCTACGCTTACCTTTGCGTCGCAGATTGCCCAGACGTTCTCGTCGATTCCATCTTCAGAACGACCTCTCCGTTCTGCCCTTGATATTTCATACTTTTCAGCGGGCTAAGAGATTATCTTAAGAAAACCAGTTAGCTGAAGAGGTCCAATTAACAGAAAACCGTTCGTTAAATGTCTCGAAACCTTTCTCCCGAAAACTACAAACACAAAGAAAGACGCAACTTCCCACCCTCCGAGACGCTCTCGTAAATTCCATAGTTGATGCCCAGTTAACCGCTGATAGCTTCAAGGCTTTCCTATCCAAAACGTTTATTAAAGACTCGACCACTCCACTTCCGACTACTTAGACATTGACCGGGACAGTTCTAGAGACTATAACTTTCACTCTGTGGGATGTGACGGTTGCTAGTCGGTGTTTTCGTCAATCTCATAGCGCAGGATATGATGGTGTCCCAGTAAGCATTTTTAAAGCCAATGCAAATACGATTATCCTATCCCACTTATGCAAGATATTTAATCTCACTCTTTCAAGTGAAACCTATCCTACTTCGTGGAAGGAATCACACATTTTGCCCATTCCTAAGCATGGCAAATCTACGTCATTTGATGACTTTCGGCCAATAAACACCCTCCCTGTAGTTTCGAATATCTTAGAGACATTGATCAGAGATAAGATGATGTGTCACTTAACAGAGACTAACATACTGAGTGCTGCTCAGCATGGATTCCTCAAAGCTCGATCTTGTGACACCTGCCAACTCTCTGTCTTTGGCCATGTTATTCAATCTAGGAACCATGGTTTTGCACTTTACACAGTGTATTTCGATTTCAATAAGGCCTTTGACCGTGTCGACCATGCTCTTCTTCTCTTGAAACTGTCCTCTTTCGAAATAGGTGGCAAACTTTTAAATTTTATATCCTCTTACCTGGGCAATCGTACACAACGCGTTAAGATTTCCAATACTATCTTCAAGTCCACACGTGTGAGGAGTGGAGTCATTCAGGGTTGTGAACTCGGCCCGCCTTTAAATTTGCCTTTTTGTTAACGATGTATCCGATGCATTTCAGAATGGAAGGCCCTGCATGTGTGCCGATGATCCGAAAGTTGCATATTGATATAAGCCGGCAGATCGTGACATCGTGCTTGAACTCACAAAGAGCGATCTACAGGCCTTAGCCCAATGGTGCCGTGTCGCACATGGCGCCTTTCTCTTTCCTGGCATAACTGCTCAGTCATGGTAGTTGACGACGACCGCCAACCTCAACTAAGCATTGGTGGTCACGCCATAAATGTACCTGGGGTAATTAAGAATTTGGGCTTATCATACTGCAAGAGTCTCAATCTCTCGGAAGACTGTGCTTTGATAGTCTGCAAAGCACGTAGATCGACCGGGTTTATTCTCCGAAACTTTAAAACTAGGGACATCAGAATGCGCCTTTACAACATGTACGTTAGACCTGGTCTGGAATACTGTTCGTTTTTATTTAGCCTCATGCGTGCTACTGAGCGGAAGAAAATAGAATCCGTTCAACACTTTTTACCAATATAGTTTTGACCCCCGAACACCGGCATTTGTCTTACCAAGAATTCTGCCGGCTTACGGGCCTCGATCCTTTATGGTTCCGTAGATTACAAAAGGGACTCTTTTTGCTATTTAAACTCCTATATAATCACACATTTAACCCACTCACCTCCTTAAGACGTCATATCCACCCACGACGTAACAGTCACCGTGAGGTCTTCTTATTTCTGCCTCTGGCACGTACTGTTAAATATCGTCGGTCATTTTCTGTACAGGCAATTGCTAGTTGGAATAAACTACCCATGAATGTGAAAAATCTGGAAAATTATCCTTTATTTAAGAGAACTATTACTCGATTTTTGCATTTAGAAAAGCTCCCACAAATTTTGGGTGCTGAATATACTGATCGACTGTACCGTAGCGATGGTATTTGTGGTCTCTGACCACTATGGCCTGTCTCACCAGTAACAATTTCTCTGGTCAACTGCGACAGCTGTTCTTCAGCGCTTCTGTTTGGACTAGCCCTAACTTTATGAAAGAAATTGGCCACTGTAGTATCCGATCCCGTGCAACCCCTCCCTTCTTGACCGTCGACAGTTTGTCGTCAGTAGTTTTTTTCTGCTGAACCCTGCAAACCTTAATAACCACCATCCACTATATTTTTACTCTTTTTCCACAGGCGTTTTTTCACTGCTGGCCGGATTTTTGTTTAAGGCTTCCCTGACAATACCTGTAAACTGGCATTAAATAAAAGTTTATTACCAATATCATTTTCAACTGAATTTTCTCGAGTTCCGGTCGTGCATTTTCAACGAAAAATATTATGTTAAGTGTATATTTTACTAAAAACATTTGCGTACCATGTTTATTTAAAGGTAGATATTGAATCTACCGTTTTCAATAGGGTTTTCAAAGGCATAGAGAGAATAGAATAGGTTTTTTGTAGCGCGCCTTGGGCACTGTCAGTCCCCTTTGAACCCAGAAAAAAACCCAAAACAAACTCATCAATTTCAACTGCACTCTGACTTCATTTGTTTTGGATGTCTGTTTGGCCAAAAGAGCGCGAATTGAGAGTTTGTTTTAAGTTAAAAAAACCTCAGTTCTAAGAGAAAATAGTAACAAAAGTTTTAAAAAATAACGATATGTACAGTATAAAAATTAAGGTTTGCAGTTTGGTAGTTTTTGGAGGCATGAATAATATGTCCATCATGGCAATTGAAGAACATTGATATCGGCCTGACCTTGAAATTATTTTCCTGTTGGGTAAATTTCGGTGTGCTCTAGTTGCTGGTTGCCAGTCTATATGGCCACCTGTAAGGGGGCGGTCGAACAGTTCCTACGTGTTTTTCAGGAGGCTTACCATCGTTGGCTGGACTAACAGCTGGAAAAGATGAATATATCAATAGAGGTGAAAATGCGATTTCCGGGTGGCATATCAAAAGAAGAGGAGGCGTTCACCGGGAGAGGTGCGTTTGAGGTCTGACGTTTCGGGTAGTCGTTTCTTCTACCCATCTTCGGAGACTGAGCAGTCGTGCACACAGATATCCTTTTATGGCGCACTTTGTTCAAAGCCTGGCCCATCAATGCCGCCTGCGTGGCTGCATCCGACCCGCATGTCACCGTGACCTGAATTCCGCCCATCTTCGTCAGCCGCGGTGATAATTGGCGGCCCCGATTGTCCCGCGCCGTGACTGTCCCCCGTCAAGAATGTCCGTAAAACCAGATAAGGGGGAGGTAAATTGATGTGGCGGTTGACAGAGCAGTCGGTAGACATCCAGGTTTCTTTCACCTGTCTTGCCGTATGATCGTCTCCTCGGCCCACAACTTCAACGGCGTCAAAGTTGAAGACATGACCCATTTGAGCGGCATGGGTTGCTACCTCCGACTTTGGGTCCAACCTTCGCACGGCCAACCTATGCTCGTGCATGCGCGTTTGCAGCCGTCGGCCGGTTTCCCCAACGTAGTTACACATTCTGCAGCTGCGCTGAAGTCGGTAGACAACAGCCGACATCTCCTGTTTAGGGATCGGGTCTTTTGGCCGCATCACTTGCCGGCGGATTGTTGAGTCGGGCCTGTGGGCAACGCCTATTCCGAGCTGCGCGAGGGATCTGGCTACGGCTTCGGAGACCCTTTTCATGTATGGAATGCTCCGCCGCGAGTTTGGCTGAATAGGTTCTTCATTCCGCTTCCTTGGTTGCTTTCGGCTCCGTTCAACGAATGTTCGCGGATAGCCGTTGGCTCTGAGGAGTTCTTGCAGGAGCTTCATCTCGTCCAGTTTGGCGACTGGAGTGCTGCAATGAGTTTCCACCCGTCGATATAGTGTGCGTACACAGCTTCGTTTGTGTTGCAGTGGGTGGTTGCTGTTGTAACTGAGCATTTGCAGCGTGTTCGTCGGTTTTCTTTAGACTGACGTCGCCAGTTTACCGTCTGGTTGGCGGTAGATGAAAACATCCAAAAATGAAAGTTTGCTTTCCACTTCTTCTTCCATCGTGAACTGTAGGTCGGGGATGATTGAGTTCAATAGTTCTTCAGAGTAGCTTATTTTATCCTGATCGATGATTACGAAGGTATCATCAACGTAGCGCGCCCAAAACTTGGGTTTGTATTCCCCGAACAGTCGTTTCTCGATTTTTTGCAGAACAGCCTCGGCAATGAGTCCGGAGATTGGTGAACTCATCGAAGTACCCTTAATATGCTCATAGGTGATCCCCTCGAAGGAAAAAAAATGTCTTGAGGCAGTGCCCCATGAGTTCTATGAGATCTTGAGCTGTGGGCTGGCCATCGCCCTCGGCGTAATTCTGACGAAGCAGGTCACTGAGCATCTCGACCGCAAGGGCCTGTGGTATGGACGTGAAGAGTGAGACGACGTCAAATGACACCATCCTCTCATTCGGTTGGATCGTGACCGCCCTTATTTTGTCGAGGAATTGCTCTGCTGAGTTTACGGTTGTTTCTGAGCCCGCGGTTAGGAATCTTAGCTTCTGAAACAGCCAATTTGCGAGCCCGTACGTAGGTGTGCCTCGGAGTGAGACGATTGGTCGAAGGGGAACATCTGGTTTGTGTACCTTTGGAAGACCGTAGAATCTCGCCATCGGTGTCTCTGCGGGCTTTGCCATATACCATTCTTTGACGGTGATGACTTTTTCCTTCTTTAGTCGAGACAGAACCCTGTTAACCCTCGCCAGTAGGGACTTTAGACTGGCGGCGTCGCTGACCATGTAGGACTCCCGGTCGTTGAGGAGCATGAGCGCTTTGTTTCGGTAATCCGCCTTGTCAAGGATAACGGTTGATCGACCTTTGTAGCAGGCAGAATAACTATCTCGGTGTCCGCCTTCAACTCCCTTAGGGCCTTTTGTTCATCTCTTAGCAGCGAATGGGTTTTTCGGTGTGACATGAGAAGTGAAGATACTCGATGTCGGAGGATGTCTTTTGCCTCGTCTGTGGCGCCGGTTTGACGTAGCACAGATTCGAAAGAAGCAATGAATGTGACCGGGTCGGCGTCAGTTGTGTTAAAACCCGATCCACGTTGTAGAACTTTTGTTTGGGCGACAGTACGATTTTTCGACGAGAGGTTGTGTACTAACGTTTGTTCAGGTACCCGGGATTGTGTGGCCTGCAGGGCCATGAAGTTTACTGATAAATCAGCATCCCTGTTAGCACGTTTCTTTCGTCTCAATGATATTAAGGTGTTCTCCAATGTAATAGCGGTCAATTCACCACAACAGCGTGTAACATCCTGAAGCTGTCGGCATTGCGTGCGTATTTCCTTAGTCGTAGGTGACAATCTCGTAAGAGCACCCTTGTATGAGCATCCACTGCAACACAAACGAAGCTGTGTACGCACACTATATCGACGGGTGGAAACTCATTGCAGCACTCCAGTCGCCAAACTGGACGAGATGAAGCTCCTGCAAGAACTCCTCAGAGCCAACGGCTATCCGCGAACATTCGTTGAACGGAGCCGAAAGCAACCAAGGAAGCGGAATGAAGAACCTATTCAGCCAAACTCGCGGCGGAGCATTCCATACATGAAAAGGGTCTCCGAAGCCGTAGCCAGATCCCTCGCGCAGCTCGGAATAGGCGTTGCCCACAGGCCCGACTCAACAATCCGCCGGCAAGTGATGCGGCCAAAAGACCCGATCCCTAAACAGGAGATGTCGGCTGTTGTCTACCGACTTCAGCGCAGCTGCAGAATGTGTAACTACGTTGGGGAAACCGGCCGACGGCTGCAAACGCGCATGCACGAGCATAGGTTGGCCGTGCGAAGGTTGGACCCAAAGTCGGAGGTAGCAACCCATGCCGCTCAAATGGGTCATGTCTTCAACTTTGACGCCGTTGAAGTTGTGGGCCGAGGAGACGATCATACGGCAAGACAGGTGAAAGAAACCTGGATGTCTACCGACTGCTCTGTCAACCGCCACATCAATTTACCTCCCCCTTATCTGGTTTTACGGACATTCTTGACGGGGGACAGTCACGGCGCGGGACAATCGGGGCCGCCAATTATCACCGCGGCTGACGAAGATGGGCGGAATTCAGGTCACGGTGACATGCGGGTCGGATGCAGCCACGCAGGCGGCATTGATGGGCCAGGCTTTGAACAAAGTGCGCCATAAAAGGATATCTGTGTGCACGACTGCTCAGTCTCCGAAGATGGGTAGAAGAAACGACTACCCGAAACGTCAGACCTCAAACACACCTCTCCCGGTGAACGCCTCCTCTTCTTTTGAGATGAACATATATGAGGAGTAGGAAGTATTCAATGGTAATTCAAAATCAGAACTGTCAAAATACTATTGAATCATGTATCATAATTTTCTCGTTAATGTGAAATTATAGGAGTAGTTGTCGACTGTTTACTATGACCTAATATAGTTTTATATGTGTTTAATATGGCCTTAATATAGGCATATACACGACTTATATGCAGGGTTTTATCGAAGAGTATATTTTTATTAGCTTTATAAGGGATATTTGTTGTCAGGTGAAATAGCCGATAGAAACGAAAAAGGGAGGAGAGAAAGAATATAAAAATCTGTTCTATGTTTATCTATGATGCTATCTTTTATAAATTTGATTATTTTTAGTGCTATTTTCCGGTATTATTCAAGCGACTGTCATCATCAGAGCCCTTCTTGACCAAATTTTATATCAAAGAATTGATGTGGAAAATGTCCTATCTTATTCAAAAATAAATGTGTATCGTTAGTTAAAAGGAATTTCTTAGTTTTTATTTTAAACTCGATTAGGGTTCGACTTGTCCGGATAGAACTTGGGAGAGAATTCCCGATAGTCGCATATCTTATAGAGTAGAAATTTGACCGTTGTGACTTTGTAAATTTGGTAATCCTCATAATATCCTCGTTATTTCTGAGGTTTCTTGGAGTGTTTTGGTTGGTAAATAAATTCATTTTGAGAATATCTTGGCCGTGGGTGACCTTGAATAGGAAGTTTAGACCATTTTGAAGTCTTCTGATCCAGAGTGGTCGAAGACCGTATTTATGATATAGTTCTAAGTGTGAACCATTGATGCCATCACTTCTAGACAAAGATCTAGCAAAACGTCTCTGAATGCCCTCTAGTTTCTTTCGGCCGTCTGAGGGCATTATGCCGAAGAAACTTGAACAATAATCTAGGAGAGGTAAAACATACATTTTGAAATGTTTTATTCTTAGTGCATTTCAGGTGAAATTTTTGCATATGCATCTACACAAGCGACTGTCTGTCGGTGAGATTTGTTGGAGGTGGGGATATTAATCAAGGGTATTTGTATAGCTGAGACCTAAATTTTTAACCGATTGGACCTCTGTTATTTCATTATCCTCGAATATTATGGGGGAAGTTTTTTGTGGGCCAAATATCAAGAGATGGTATTTTTCGGGTGGAAAGGGCATCTGCCACTGACTACTGCATTCGCTGAGTTTTCTGAGATCAGTTTCAATTGTTCTATGAATATTGGCTACTGTATTCCCGTTATATGCATATGCAATTTTAAGGTCGTCCGCATACAAAAACGTCTTAGATGAGACAGATACGGACGATAAGTCGTGAATTTATATAAGAAATAGAAGGGGGCCTAGGATAGTGACTTGAAGTACTCCTGTGGTAAAAGAGGATGGTTCTGAGACTATGTTTCGAATTTGCACCAGCTGGTATCGGTTTTGAAGATAGGATTTAAGAAAATCGAGAAGGGGCGGCCTAATTCCATGACTTTTTAGCTTTATTAGTAGTCTTTTATTGGGGGACTTTGTTAAAGGCCTTTCTTAGATCGAAGTATATTGAAGCTACTGTGTTTCCATCATCTCTATTGCTGGAAACGAATTCCAAAAAAGTAAGGTGGCAGAACTGACATGACTTTTGGGTAAAAATGCATGTTGAGAGTAGGGAATGAGGTTGGCGTTCATGAGATGGTCTAGCAATTGGTTGTATACTATTTTCTCGAGGATTTTAGCTATAGCCGGTATTCGGTGAACACCACGATAGTTTTGGGTATGAGATCGGTTGCCGCTTTTAAAAATAGGTGTAAAGGACAGAGTCTAATAGGTTAACTGCGTCCATAGGGGATGTTGTTAGAAGATATGGGCTCCAGCCCAATGATCTAATATAGTTGTTCATGGAGTCCTCGTCAAGTTTGATGGGTTAAGACGGGTGTTATTATAATGGGGTGCTAGTTTTGCATTTAAGGGGAGTGTTGATATTATTGCTTTGTGGTCACGTTCAACGGTTGCGCAGTCGTAGTGCATATAGAGGGGCCAGATATCGTTGGTGAAAATAACGTCTAGCATATTGTTTCCTCGGGTGGGTTTGTCAACTATTTGTGTCCAGTTATTAAAGATAATTTAATTTAAGTTAATTCAAGTTATTAAATGCCAGTTTACAGGCATTGTCAAGGGAAGCGATTAAACACAAATCCGACCACCAGTGAAAAAAAATCCTGAAGAATAAAAATATAGTTGATGGTGGTTTTTATGGTTTGGAGGGCTCAGGAGAAAAAAAAACTGCTGGCGGTAGATTTTCGACCGTCAAGAAGGGGGAGGTTGCACAGTATCTGAGATTTTCGGACGTCAAATTCCTTTCATGAAGTTGAGGATAGTCAAAGTAGAGGCGTTGAGGAACAGCTGGTGAGACCGGCCAAAGTGTTCAGAGACCACAAACGCCATTGCTACGGTACAGTCTATCAGTGGATTCAAAACCCAAAATTTGAGGAAGCTTTTCTGAATGCAAAAATCGAGTAATAGTTCTCTTAAATAAAGGATAATTTTGCAGAGTTTTCACACTCATTGGTAGTTTATTCCAAATAGCAATTGCATTTACAGAATTCAACCGACGATATTTAACAGTACGTGCCAGAGGCAGAAATAAGAAGACCCCACGGTGACTGTTACGTCGTGGGTGAATAAAGAGGTGAGTGGGTTAAATGTGTGATTATATAAGAGTTTAAGTAGCAAGAAGAGTCCCTTTTGTAATCTACGGAACCATAAAGGATCGAGGCCCGTAAGCCGGCAACGTTCTTGGTAAGACAAATGTCGGTGTTCCGCGGCTAAAATTCTCTTGGTGAAAACCAGAGCACTTTGCTGACTTCAAAAAACAGAGGAATGTATGTCGGAATCTGTTGAGGAGGCAACGGGAAGAATTTTGATTCAAAACTATTAAAAATATCCCGCAAAATTCAAAAAAATTATTTGGATACGTGAATAAAGCAAAACGCAACCGGGACTGCATTCCCTGCCTAAAATATAGCCACGGAAATACGTTGTTTGACAACTCAGATAAGGCGAATCTGTTATCCGACTTCTTCACGTCTGTGTATACTGAGGAGCCGGCTTTTGATGAAAGAGTTTACCCCCAATTGTCAAATCAAACAGTACACTTAGCACGGTGGACTTCACAACCGACACCGTAAGGAAAACTTTGAAGCAACTACAGCCCACTAAATTCCCTGGTCCGGACGGCGTGTTCGCGAAAGTTCTGAATGAACTCTCAGACCAACTGGCCTCTCCGTTATCCAAGAGCTTCAAAATTTCGATGGAGACCGGCGCTTTGCCTACCGACTGGAAGAAAGCAAATATAAGCCCCATTTATAAAGTTGGCGAGAGAACAGCCCCAAATAGTTTCAGATCAGTGAGTCTCACAAGCATCTGTTGCCAGTTGATGGAAAGAGTAATAAAAACGGAGCTGATGCGGCACCTCGAAGAAAACAACTTGCTCAGTTTACATCAGCATTGATTTCGAAGGGGTCGATCAT